ATTATGAACCGGGGCGTTTATATCCTCTCCCGTTGAAAGCCTATACGTTGAAAGTGGAGAACCGAGCTTTGCTTTAAGAAGAGACTATCTTACTCTAGTTTACGACTCATCTATAATTTCTAAACCGGACCAACTTAATCATAGTTTGTTTACCAGTATCAACTCAAACCAAGTGTATTACTCAACTGGCATTACGGAGAGAACCCACAAACTACTTTTACAATTAGACTTCAGACTGGACAATATAATGACAATAGACGACGCTTTATTCTACCAATGGAATAACTCTTTCATAAAAACAGATAAGTCTCTTTCTAGGAAAATACAAACTGACGACGACCAATTTGTCAAAAAACACTTATTTACAGAAATGAAACACAAATACCTCGGACACACAACCCTTTATACAGATGCGTCAAAAACAGATAGTGACGTAGGATGTGCCTTAATACTGAAAGACCAGTGCCTCAAATTCAATTTGCCCCAAATAAACAGCGTCTTTACAGGCGAACTATTCGCCATATACCAGGGCTTGTTATTAATAACAGAAAAAAACATAAAAAATGGCCTTATAGTTACAGACGCTTTAAGCTCATTAATGGTCATTGCCGAAGGGAAAGACGACAATGCCATTTCCAGGAAAATCAAAAACTGCCTTTGGGAAATGAAGGAGTCGCCGGACAGAGACATCGTCCTCGCATGGGCACCCTCACATTGTGGCATACCTGGAACGAAGCTGAAGACAGAGCTGTGAACCTGGCAAGAAGAAAAACTAATGGAACTGCACTGATCAATTTAACGACCACTGCTGAGTGGAGATTGGAATGCAAAAGAATGCTATATGAAAAATGGCAATTCAAGTGGAACCAATTTACGAACAAATTACAAGAAATTAAAAAAGATACCAAACCGTGGACGACCTCTTTCAGAAAGAACAGAAAAGAAGAGACAATTTTAACTCGGCTTAGAATTGGACATGCAGCCTTTACCCATGGCTACCTAATGAGAGGCCTGGAGCCACCATTTTGTAAAACATGCAACACATCACTTACACTGAAACACATTGTAACAACTTGCAGACTATACTCTGACACCAGAACAAAACATAATATACTTTCCAACATATCTGAAGCACTTTCAGATGACGAAAAAAAGATACAAAAAATATTTGAATTTATAAAAGACATTAAATTTGTACACCTAATTTGATTAGATCTAAAGCCACTAATGACCCGAGCGGGTAGATGCGGAATGTAACAATAAATAAATAAATAAATCTGCTAAGTAAGAACAATAAATTCGTAACTATTACACAATGTTGTACTAGTTATTAGCGTAGCTTCAACCGCCGTATGATTCGTGAAATACTAACCGCTTTTGTGTTACCTTTCGGTCATGAAAATATGAAAAGAGACTTTGACAATATGCCCCGGTGAGGTGATGGTCATGTCGAGAAGGATAAAGCAGCCCCGCCCGAACGACAGCTGACACCCCCAGGGCACTCACCGATCATGTCAACGCCCAATCCACCGTTCCAGCCACCGCTTTCATTTAGCTCGTATAAAAAAGTACATCCACTTAATATCAAACAACTGGAAATTTATAACATTTAAGGTCATTTGCCAGTCCTGAAAATAAATTAATCATCCATCAATTGAATTTTCAACTTCGAATCAATTTACTTAATAATAAATAGTCATTACTTGAAATCGGAAGTAAATATTAATTATTAAATTTATAACTGATTTATTTTATTCTTCTCCAAGATCTGTCACTTATTTCATTTATCAATAAATGTCGGTATGTCTCACATCACAAGTTAAATTAAAAAAATATAAATAATCCTTATAAAATATAAAACTGATATAAAAAGTAAATAAAGTATTAATTATTAAATTATTAAAGGCTGACAAAGGTGTCGGCTGTTCAATAATAATGATTCAATATTATTTTCACAATAAACTCTGCAGAACTGTTTTATAACTAGCATTGGAATATCATAGGGGGGGGAAAAAATGTACCTCTACAACCCATGAAGGGTCTTGGATTCAGTAGGCAGTACCTTTTTTTTTTTTTTTTCTTTCCTACCTCGCCTTTTAGGCTATACGAGATTTTCCCGGGCCGGAGGGTGAGGGCGGGGAATTTAAAATCCCCTCCGGCACCGGGACGCGAACTCGTACTTTTTAAATCTTCTGAAATCTGTAATCAGGTTGACAGGCAACTCGCGGTGCTGTGCACACGCTTTAGCCCATTCAGCCACCCCGCTCCCTCAGTAGGCAGTACTATGGATTATGTAGCAGTACTATTACAGGACCAATGGTTGTGCAGGGATGTGATTGGGCTCAACCGCCAGGTTTTCCCCCCTTAATTAACATACTTACATTCTTTGAGTGAATGCAATTATATATGAAAAATATATTTCCAAAGATCTTGACATCAGGAAAATGAGCGGAAATAGGGTTCTGCAGAGAACCGGTTGAAGCTTCTTTAGGAGCTGTACCAGCATGAACATTGTCCTCTACACCTGTGCGATCCTGTTATCAACATAAAATTTATGGTTTTGGATTACATAAAAAAAAAAAAAAAAAAATGAGTTTTCGCTTAGTTAGCACGTTTGTTTGGATCAAGAATGATGAATTTATAACTTTCGTGAACAAATAAAATATTTATATAAAATAAAAATTAAAGCATCTGTACTTATACGTAAAGAATTTTTTTTTTTTTTTTTAGTGACATCGTTGTAAGCTTCTACAGGTGTGAAAGGATTTTTACTTTCCTACCTATACTAGGTAAGGAAAGTATTGCGATCGAGTCAAATTTCCGATATGCGGTCTTCGACGGATCTATACGTTTTAGAGCCCCTGAGTTCGAAAAACAAATTTTTAGCCATTGGTCTGTCTGTGGCAAGATTTTCTCGGAACATGTGAACCGATTTTGTTGCTTCTTCTTTTTTATTTATACTACTGATGTCTTTGACATAAATTGGATGCGCATGCGTAATAGATGCTGCGCAATAAAGTAAAAACATGTTTTTCTATAGACTGTAGCGCGAAAACGGCTTCATTGATCTACCTTAAGCCGGTTTACATTGCTTTAGTTTATCAAATAAATAGTATACATATTTTCTTCGATCAATTTTCAGGAAAATAAATCTAATTCAATTTTTTTTTTGTATCTTGATGGGTATATGTGAAGATATAAATAATTTTCTGAAATACGTAGGAATGTCGTGTGAGTGGACACACAACATTTTTTTATTCAAAAAACTATTTAATTCATTCACAATTATTGTCAATTCAGCTGGTCCTTAAAGAGCTATGCCAGGGAAAGCAATTCATTGCCTATTATCGAAACAATTTTAAACAGAAAATACTGGAGACATTCATCCATTTCCCTTATCCAGGTTGAGCTTATCCAGTGAAAAGCTCATTTCCATACAAATGGGCGGGATAATGCAAGCTGTTATTAGGCGACTTATGGCCGGAATGGAATAGTTCCTGGTCATCATAATGAAGTACAACACTCTAGTTAGAACAGGATCCCATTTCAAACCCCTATCAGCTATTATAGAACGAAAATATTCTAATATCCTGAATCACTGAATTAAATTATTAAAATTTACTAAACCCTGTTTTTCAATTTTTTTTTTGCCATATATACTAGTTGGCACTATAATTTTTATATCATTAATATGATACTAATGCATGGAAAATATAATTAATTTTCGTATTCCTTTACCCCGGACTGCCTGAATTAGGTTTGGATAAAAGTCTTATAATTGAATGGATTTTATCTAAATACATTCTGGTGAGAGACCGCAATATATTTTATGACATAATATCCATTGATTGACACATAGGCTGAGTGATATTTGTGAGCACAAATTATGAGATAAAACGCTCTTTATAAGGATCATATCAAAATGATCCACTCGTTGCAAGGAGATAGTTCTTTTTCACTCTTTTCTAGTTCTATAAAAGAATTAATCAGTTAAGAAACTAACTCAATTTAATGAAAATCGGATTTTGCCTGGCAACCTTGCATCGTCGTTAGTAATTTTTAGTTTGGTTCAATTAAAGGATGAAGTTTACTTCAAGGGAGTTGGAGTTGGCAATTTCACGCCTCACATAGCAGAAGGTCGGGCTTATAACGACACACCCACGTTTCTCAGTAATAAAACGTATACAAATATGATGGTTTTTCTTATTATATTTTATTCTTAGTCCAGGTTTCGCTTGGATTATTATTATCGATCAGGAGAACCCAATAAGGATATATTTATTCCTATGTGTACAAAAATAAATAAATTTATTTCACATAATAAAAAATAGTCTTCCATATAAATCGGTAAAGATTTCTCACTATTTTAAATATATATGTATACATTTATTTAAAATGAAAATGTATGTCGAATTCCTAATTAAAGAAGAAGCTCATTCGAGACTCCAACATACATAAACTAGTCCCTAATACCAGTGCGCTTTATACTTTCACACTTTAACATCCTCTCAGTCTTCATTTTCATCATGCAGCAGAATTACAGTCAGTATTCTCTGCACTTCCAAGTAGGCAAGATGGAAATGTGCCTACATCCTTTCAATTAAAATTGTTATTGTATGGCCACTCCTTTCTTGCTGAGTTTTCTGCCAGTGCTGTATTGACTGCAACAAAATTTTCAGAGTGGCTAGGTTTTTTTCCGGAACTGATATTTGTTGATGAGACCTGTCCAGCTGCTTCTCTTTGATGAAACTAGTTCAGCTGAAGAATGAAGGTGATTAAACTACTTTTTAATCCACGGTGGGCAAGTAGGGCACTCCAACTTGAAGTTAAATGGTTAAATACGAACTGAGGCATCCATTTATATTATTTGTTGGTCATCCATTTCGCACTGTCGGGAATCACGCAGTTAGTCCCTACTCCAGAAGGTGATGGAAGCATGAAGATCTCTTTTTGCCATCGTTGTCTAGTTATCTTCCAGCTGTGACTTTCATTCCTACATTTTAGATTTTATAAGGGCTGTCAGCCATGGAACCCCTAAATTTCCAGGAGGCCAGGAGTTCTCCTGTGTGATTTCTGGCACTCCAATTGTCTTCCTCCTCGAACTGCTTCTTGCAGCTGTTACGCTTCATATCTTCTATTGTTCTAAATAATAGAGATTTGAATAGTTTTGTATGTGAGTGTCAGTATATCAGGATGGTCGATATTTTATACGACATACCTAATGACATTAAATTTTCAACACAATATAAATCGTTAGTTATAGAATCATTCTAATTTTACCTGGCTTCTTGATACAAGGGCACACTGTAGGGCTAATAGCTACGGAGTGAGATCATCTAATTATGTTTTCTAATATAGACTAAAATTTTCATTTCAAATTGAGTTTAACTTCGTCTTAATTGAAAAAAAAACATGGAATCTTAAAAGAAAGCTTTAATAGTGCTATAAAAAATAAGCATTTGGCAAATAAATATGATGTTTTACGATAAATTCAGCATCAAAAACTTAAATTACCGTGATTATATCATCAAAAATTTGGATGAAATTGAAAACGATTTAATATTTAAAGTTTGATAAAATCGATGAAACGTTACTGAGCTGCAATACAAGGATAACCTAAAATTTGCCTTTGGTACTACTTTAATCCTAAAAATTGGGAAAAAAAAGTTCATGTTCCTTTGGGTAGTTGATCCTCCGTAGGGGTCGAGTTCATCTACAATAGCCGAATTAGCAGAGAGATTTCTCTTGCTCCAACTGCATCTCATTATACCCAAGCTAATTGTCGACAGTTATGCTCCTAACTATTCCGGGCAGTTGGGAACTTGTTGGGGAAAGGCTTCGCTTCTTTGCGGAGGTTTACATCCACTACAATACTGTACGGAATTAAGGTTTAGAAAAATATCTCAATATAGTGTCATGGGTAAGAATATAGCAAAATAATAATAATAATAAAAAATGAAATTTATAACGTTTGTTTAAAATTTTGAATAATACTTAAAAAAAATACATAATTACTATCATTAATATTTATATCAAGGCGACCCAACCAACCAATCTAAATGATGTTCGACATAAATTATCACCAATTCTTGCCTGCATATCTCATTCAACTAGACCCCAAAAAAACCCAAATGATTTCGGTAAAGCTTAACATAATTCTTCTTTCTAAAAAAATGTATTTTAAAAATATATATTTATTAAAGATTAGATTTTTTTTTTTTTTTTTTTTTTTTTTTTTTTTTACCGACGACAGCCCCTATGTAATTTATTTTATTTTACATCTTAAACACAGAGAAGCTTTCGGTGAGCTTTACCATATTCATGTCTATAATTACAATATATCAATAATCAATTAACAATTCACATATGTTGCATACTTTCTAATTGTCATGCATTTATTACCATGCCATACTTTCTCCCCTAACTTTGGAAACTAGTCGGCCCGTGCGAAAAATTCCCACTGCATATTGTTATCAAATGCCAAATTAATAAGAAAATAAAATAATGAAACATATCAAAAGATAAAGGAATCAATTGTTACTTTATCGATAAATATAATGGACAAAGGAAACAAAATTAATTTAAATCTTCATTTGTGTTTGGAACCAACATATTTACAAACTTTAATAAGCTATATCTTTGCGAAAAATTGTCCAATTTCAATGATTTGTTTTCATTTTGTAGGGAATTGAGTAATCTTTTATATAATTATAGGCATAATTAAGGAAAAAGTGTGTAATTTTTTAGTTATTCGCAAAGAAAGTTTGTTTTTTAAATAAATTTTTTGCCTGAATTTTCGGGGTGATTGGACTATTTTGCCCGCCTGAAGGAGAAGGAAGCCTTCAAAATTGGTGGCTCAATCTTGTGAATTGGTGAAAAATTAATAATGATATGACTTGCCGATCAAGAACACCATCGATAAATAATATAAACTCTTCCTGTCTGGATCATATGAGCCACAATTCGACGAAATGAGGCATATATTCAATGACAGTGGATGCGAACCCTATGTCTTGCGTTATCTCGAAAATAGTACGTTTTTGGGCTTAATAACGCAGGATCTGATAGTCCGGAGGAACTATCCGGGTCTTGGTGTACGCATCAAAATCTTCAAAATCCAATTTATCTCATATCGACCTACAGACCTACCACCGTTCCAGTATTGAAGCCTAGGAAAATGTTTGTATCGACTTTATTTATTTTAGGAAGAAAAATAAAAGTAGAGAATACGATTCGCTAACCCCCCGTGAAATTCTGAGTCAAACGGTACTCCATTATTGGTATTTGAGCATGACAGGAGCTTATATTTGGTACAAAACCGATTTCGAGCCTTACTGTAATAATATGGGGATGGGGATCGGAGCTGTGTTCATATTTTTCGTTTCATATGATAAAAAATTGGTGTTAATACTTCTCTGCGTTTATGATCTCTCTTCTTCCAATCTTTATCAAATCTTTTTGTATACTTTATGTAATCCAAATTTTTAAAGTGATTCACCTTCTTAAAATTATTAGAGCTGAAACCTTAAATCTTAAGTAGCTTCTAATTTTCCCAGCTGTCACCAATACCTGTGCAAGTGAGATGACAGCTGCTGGCTACATGATATCCAATAGGACTCCTTCGATACGACTGCTGGACCCCTATTTCCCCTATTATTATATTTCCCCTCCCACAGAATTATTACATTCCCTGACATATCTCATCTTCCACTAGCTCCGTCGACGACCAGCTCGGTCTTAAATAAATTCGACACCAGTAGCTTCTTGCGCTTTATTGCGGCCAGCCCCGAACTAGTAATTATAGATTTTATGTTTTATTTACTTTCATATTATGATAATAATTATAAAAGGACCCGCAAATAAAATAATGGTACCTCATGTTTGTATGTCTATGAACATTTTGTAAGATGTACTACAGCATTTTATATATATATAATTTTTTTAACATTGTTTATTACTTGAACATTAGGATTTGCTTTACTTTTCCGGTTATCTAAACAATACAATATATACTTAGTAACATGATTTTCTATAGATTTAAAATAGAAATTATATTTACAGAGTATTCTTCGCTCAATCAAGCACCATGAAGGCGTTTTGTTGGCTAAACTTCGACTTAATAGATTTTTTCTTAGGAAACAATATAATTGAGTTGATTACATTGCAGCGAATAAAATTGCCATTGGGTTCGCTAAGCCATTAATTATTATTATTATTATCTTGGGAGAGCTCGTGAGGCGCAAGAACTCACAAATAATTTTCTTTTCATGCCCAAAGTTTTGCTTTTCACAACCACACATAAATTTTTAAGAGTTTTTTTTTCCTATATATATACATAAAGTATAAATAAATAAAATAAACAGAACTAAAATGCCAACTAAAATAGTGCGATACATAATATAAGTAAATAACAAAAATAAACACATACAAACCTATATACTCTATTTTAAGATTAAATAATATTACGCAGAAAAGAGAGAATTTAAATAAAATAAGGTCAGAAAAGTATTCAATGAAATTTAGAAAAAAAAATTGTTTTAAAAATTTTCAAATTAAATAATACCAGGTAACTTGAAATTAAAATTTTATAATGAAAAAATCGTAATCTGTGTCTCGACGAATTTTGCTTATCATCTTATTGTGGTATTATAAATATAATAATTTAATTAATTTATTATATAATAAATATAACTAGAAGTTTTCAAATTTTATGTAATTTTAGTTACGAGGAAAATATAAATTGAAGGAAAACAAGAGTACATACAGAAAATTGTCGATTAATATTGTAAGAGAAAATAAAAATGGAACTTGAGGAAGGAAATAATAAGACAGAGAAGGAAAGATAATACTTTAAAATTATTATTAGTAAAATTTGCGTGATCAAAATATCTTATTATATTCCAGGAGTACAAAAAAATATTCGATGAAAAAATAAAACAATGGGAACAAAGAAATACGAACATCATTGCAAAGTGATTTAAGAACATGTGAAGATTGAGAAGTAGGGAAAGATAAAATAGTGAAAACATTTTGTCCTCGATTATGAATTGAATTGGTTTTAAAAATTATAACATATTTACATGTTATTAACATATTAAATTGTAATAAATTTTGGTCTATGGATTGTGGAAACCTTAATTTATTTGTGTATTCAATTTTATTTTAATTTCAAGGAATATTTATTGATATTGTTTAACTGAAAGAATTTATTTACATGTGCATATATATATATATATTTTTTTAATTTTTACAAAAAAAAAATATAAATAGATAAGAATAGGGGTGCTTACTTATTGACAACGGCTTCTACTCCGCTTGTGACTGTAGTCCTGTTGAACGGTCTCATATAAGCATGCATCTCCTTGAAATATTTTTTTAGCGTAGAATCCGAATGTGACCAGGGGATGGTGCCGAACTTGAATGTAGGTTTGTGGCTATAAGGGTGGGCGAGCTACAAAAAAAAAATACATACATTTTAAGAGATTTAAAGCTTTATGCATTTAAGCTATCCTGAAAAATAAATGGAAGTAATTCACTCCAAAAGCCTTCAGAGTTTTTGTTTAAAATGTCTAATACAAGCATCAGGCAAGAAAAACCAAATAATTTGAACTATTGATGCGTCTTGTGATATTTATGTCAAAAATTGTTGTTATTTATCGAATTTGATTTTGACAATTACTTGATAGTATTACACCATTTCGCCACCTCATACAAGCAACTAAAGCATTACATTTTATAGATCTATTACAATACTTTAATCTAACATTTATGAGTTTATATATATATATATATATATATATATATATATATATATATATATTATATATATTTATATATATATATAATATATATATATGTACGTATATAATATTTTATTAATTACTTATAGATATAATTTATTAGTTAAGCTCACCCTATTATCATCAATGCCACTGAATTCATGATATTCTTCTCGCGTTATCATGAAGGCTGCAAGGTTGGCAGTGTATATAGCCAGGAACACAACAGCAAACATAGCCCACATATTTGTCATAAATCTGAAAAAAATAAACGACTTTATTGTCACAAGAATTATTTTTAGATGAAATAGAAAATAATATTTGCGGTTTCGGAAAGGAGTAATTCTTTATTTTTTCCCTAGCCAAAACACAAAATAAAAAGATAAATAAATAAAACATTATCGAACATAATCTCAATTCATTAATTAGTATATTATTAATTAAAGCAATATTTGTATTTATTTTCAACCAGACGACTCAATGAATGTATCAACTTACTAACCTATGGAAGATAATCATTTTATTATTTTCCGTCTTACTGCTAAAAGCCAGACTATATAAAGGGTAACAACCATGTATCTATCTATAAACAAGATCCGTTAGAACGAAACGACACCATCCTTATCTGTTCTCAAATTTTCCGGTTCGTTTAATGAAATAAGAACTGCTAGTGTAGAAACAAATTTTACGTCCTGGTCAGATGTACAGAGCATCACTCATGAATCCTTGTACTGAAGACATACGAAAACATCTTCAAACTTCCAGTAAAACGATATGCTAAGGAAGATGACACGGTCGACATCACTAAAGACACACATTGATGGCAAAACGGCCTGTTCAAAACATCGCATCTTCCTACGATCCTACAACCTATAGGTTTCTACTATATGGGACAAAAAAAAAAAAAAAAAAAAAAAAAAAAAATATATATATATATATATATATATATATATATATATATATATATATATAAGTAACACAAAAAATGGTTATCTCATTTAGAAACCTTGATGTATTTCAAAAATGTTATAAGTTCGAATTTGGCTTTGAGAATCTAATAGCCTCACCGAAACTTATTTCTTTACCTGAACCATCTATTTAGGAAATGGGAACTAAAGAATTGTGGAATCGAAGGAGCATAACAAGATTAGATATTTTAAAAAAATGTTACATTAAACTAACCTTATCTTAAAAAGTTGATAATTTCATGGTAGTTGATAATAATTTCAACTTGGGTAATCTTGAGAATAATGTATGCATCTATATGGGTAACGTAGTTATATTTACGTTTTGTATTTTACTTGATGGATGATTTTCCTTAATTAATTTATTTTGGTTAATAATTCTGTCAAAGCTTCAGATTTTTTCGAAATATAACGGATTATTAGAAGGTAAGTATAAAATGTATAAATACCTTTATAAAATTAGAGGGAAGAAAATATAATCCAATTGAAAGACAAGCCGGACGAGAAACTTTTTCATTAGTGCCCTGTTGAAAGAGAAGGTTCCAAACTTTCATAATTTAACTTGGACTTAATTGCTTACTTTTTTAGCAACTTTACCGAGGAGGGCTCCCTCAACAAGGGTCAGTCATTGACAGATCTTCTTTTATTGCTGCCCCGATCCGACAAGGAACTGTCTTCCCTAATCAATGATCGCTTCCCGATTGGGTTACTGTCCGGATTTCTTCAATTGTCTACCGACACCCTTCCATGGGTTCCGCATTGTTCTGCTGAAGAGTTTTAAATATTCTGTTTTATTAGCTATCTTTAAAATTGGTTGGTGAAAATTTAATAATACAAAAAAATACCGAATTTTTCAGATAATTCATTTTAATGTTTGTTTTTTCATTTGCATTTGCCAAAATCAAACATTTTGAATTTATTAAACAGTTCAAGAAATTCGTTATTGTTAGAAAAACTATGTTTTTTCTTAAATCACACATGTTTTATATATTTACATATAATCTTTTAATTATTCTTTTAACCAATTGCTAATAGAAAATGAAAATAGATATTCAAAATTTTTTAAATTATATTTATTCCTTCAAACAATAACTTTTAATTAATCCATTTTAATTAATATATTTGTTTTGTTTTATTATAATTTAGTTAATATGTATAAATATTTAATTTTGCATATAATATTTTTATTTAAATATAAAAACAGAAGTATGTTTTCAGTGGGAACATTCAAGGAAGTTAGTCGACTGTTCTACATATCATGTGTGATAAATATTTAGGACGCAGTCATTACAAAGTTTTTATTAGTGCCGACGTTTCAAACCAAACATGTGGGTTATCATTAGGGCGTGGTTCGAACACTGAAGATATTAAAGTAGTCGCAAACTTTTTTACTAGTAAATACTCGCATATTGAGTACTTAAATACCTTCAGTGCTCGAACCAAGCCCTGATGATGACTCGCATGTTTAGGTTGAAACGTCGGCACTAATAAAAACTTTATAATGACTGCGTCCTGATTATTTATCACGCATTAAATTTCAATAATTTTGCCCGTTTTATTTTCATTAAGTATTTTCAAATTAAAAATAATTGTAGCCTTTCATTAATGATGAGTAAAAAATATACAATTTTACTTACTTTGATGTGAAACCTCTTGGAGAATCGACGTGGACTGCTGCTTGGAACAAAACTGCCCAAACTAGCCAATATGTTCTGAAAAGAGAAAATCTGTGACCAGCTCCTGCTACTGTGGACTGCTGTTGGAAGCACTGAAATACAATTATTGAGATGTATAAATAAATATATATAAAATATTCCATTTTAATTTTATAGTAATAGTAAATATTATTTGAAAAGACTATTTCTTCTTACTTATCCAGTTCTAGCACAGTTGAAAAAAAATTTAAACAAGTTAATACATCTCGATTAAAAAAAGTCGATTTATTTTATCAACCAAAGGAGAGGTCTCCAATAATTATAGCCCACGGACAATATTGAGATCTCCACTAAGTCTAGCGGATGATGGCGTGTGGTGAAAATAAAAACATCTTCAATAAACGATTCCTAGTTGTGAATTTACGTTTAAACAAAGTTGTGATAATGTACAATGGTACAGTATATATAAATGATAACAATTGACATTCAGTTTTTGAAAGTGGTAATGGAGTATTAGGTTATGTGAAGGATATATAACATGTTATATAGTTGAAGTATAGGTACATTAAGAATAATAATAAAAGTCAAACACACTGCATCTGGCACTGCTGGAAGCAGTTGGGAGACTGGTAATCAGAAGTCTGGTAGAACTTGCACTTAGTTGGAAAACTGGAGGTAGATGAGATAAGAAAACGCCATAAAAACTTTGATAATTACTGGGGATAGTTGAGTAAATTGATCTAAATATAGGTTGAAAGGTGAAGATCAAATTTTCTTTCTTCTTTTTTTTTAGCTTTAGAATTTTAATAAAAATTAAATTTGATTACATAGTATGTATAATTAGTAAGTTAGGCCCCAGCAATTTTTTTTATTGAGAGAGAAATACTTTATTTAAAGCTCGTTTTATAGAAAAGTTTAATCAAAATCGTTAGAGCCGTTTTCGCAGTATTTTTTTTTTTACACATATTTATTCAGAAATATTACATTCTGTCACAATTAAGGACATTTATAATAGTGTTCAGAGAGCACACTCACACTATATTTACAATAAATAAAAATAAATAATGCAGAAATTAATAATAATAAAAATAAATGTATATAAACAAAAGAACTAAATTATTCAAAATAATAACTAAAACACATGCATACTATACAATATTTACAGAATCCATTCAGAAGAACTCCGAGCCAAGCCTTTCTCCCCACTTGTGAAAGGAAAGGTAAGACTCTAGGAGATCCCAGCGCCTCGCACTGAGCGCGATCCTGAAATTACTGGTATTAAGAACCAATAGAGCCTGAGAAGAGGCGCTATAATCACACATACTTGGATTGAGTGGAGGATCTGGCCATTGCAAAAACTCCAATATATTGGGTCTTCAAGCTTTCGGATAGCTCTTCAAGCTTATAATCCATTTAACCCAGTCCTTGTACCTAGTCTTCCGATTTTACCTCTCTGACCGCTCCTTTCGAGTTCGCTGTGGAGCCAATATATACTCCGTTAAAGCCGGTTTCCCCAAGGCATTGTCTTGGGTCCTGTGCCTTACATCCTCTATTCTGCTGACATCCCTGTTCATCCCGATAATTTCCTTGCAACATTCGCTGACGACACCGCAATCTTATCATCCAATTCTGATCCCGAAATAGCATCCTTAAATTTCCAAAGGCACCTCACCTTGATTAAGCACTGGTCTAATAACTGGCGCATTAAAGTCAATGAATCTAAATGCCAACATATTACCTTTACATTCCGAAGCAATTCCTGCCACCAGTACACTTTAATTCCATCCAGCTTCCTTACTGAAACACAGTCCTGTATCTTGGCTTTCATTTAGACTGACGACCAACATGGAACCCACATACTAGACTCAAAAGACAAGACGACACGGCCAGATATATAGACTACTAAACAGAAAATCTAAATTTTCTATTCAAAACAAATTACTTATCTACAAGACAATTCCGAAACCTATATGGACTTACGAAATTGAACTGAGGTAAACAGCAAAATTTTCTAACATCAAACGTATCCAACCCTTTCAGTCTAAAGTCCTTCAAACAATAGTTGATGCTCCATTCTATGTAACTAACAAAACCCTACACCATGCCCTTAATACCCCATTTGTCCTAGACCTGATCCAAGAAAAATTCTCCAAATTTCACCAGAACCTTACCTATCATCCAAATCCCCTTACACAATCTCTATCCAGCACCACCCATCCTTTGCTGTACAGTCTAGGGAAAAACATGTTTTTCTTATTGTACACCAAAAAAGAAGCTACAAAATAGGCGTTCCTAAGTTAATTTTAACACTGACAGATCAATGGACAAACATGTGAATTTAGGACTCTGAAAAGTAATGATCCGTTGAAAACCGCATACCAGAAATTTGCTCCGATCGCAGTAATTTCCTTACCTAGTATAGTAAGGAACCATATAACGGTGGGAGAGTACAAAAAATGTTTGTATGACAACAAAAAAATAAGTTATTCATCCATCATTCAAAAGAACTTTAATAAATAACCTCCGCCAAAGGGATGGCAGCCGTCCATGTTTTTGAAAAATCTATGTTTTTAAATATCTATCTATGGATGTTTTATTTATTTCTTCATTGCTATTCTACCAATATTAAAACGCGTAGTCGCTAATGTTTAGCATTTTAAATCATAAAAGAGCATTTATAGTAAAAGCTATCATTAGTAAATTAGTAAAAACTTTTATTTTTAATAAATCGAAAAAAATATATAAAGTTTTTATAGTTTCTTTTGCGTGTTGATTTTGAGATAAATAAATACAGGTTCCGTTCATTGTTCAGTAATGAAAAATAAACAAAGCATAAATTAAACAACAATTCTAAAATCTCAAGGTATTTCCGTTAATTATTGTATAAATTAAGGAATAAAATAATTTAAAATCAGTAAACACAGTTGCTTGATTACCTGCTTGATCAATCTAATACGTAATTAAATAATTTTAAAAATCTACGATATTAATTGAATATCACCCACGGTTTTCCATTAAATAGTTAGCCTAGTTTTTTTTTTTTTTCGCGCCATGGATTTTGGGCCACGGCCATTCGATTTGTCTTCCCTTCAAGCGGCAAGAATTGATCTGGGGTCACCCGACCCTTTATAATTCGGATATTTGAACCGAGAGCCCCGGAGGCCCGAAAAAACATTCTTGTGGTAGATAGTCCTTTTGAAGGAAATTAATTTTCCTTCAGCCCATGAAATTATTTCAAAAATGCCATATCCACCCCTAGAGGAAACCCTATTAAAGTAGAAGAGATTGCGAAAGGTCATTTAAAGAGGAAAGGCATAAGCTGGATGTGGCAATATTGATAAGGGTAGGAAATGGCGTCTCAACTCTGAGATAAGAGACTGGATTCTCAGCCTTCACGGTTGTTCTTATCTCAGGAATGGACACTTCCAAAGTCCGGGTTTCCAAGGACTATAAAAGAAAGGATCTCGCAGATGAGATTAGTTCGTTATAGAAAATTTCATTGTTGTTTAATAACAACCGAGTAAGCCAAAAAATCTAAGGTGTGTGCTTAAGACTACACGATAGAAGTGAAAATATCAACAAGGCGGACTTAATAATATGAAATATAAATATTTTTTTGTTCTATTTTTAAGGAATATTACAATTTACAATTTATACAATTATGATTGTGTTTAAATTACTCTAGTAAACTTTGCTCCAACTGATCATATTAAGTCAGTATCATCATACGCTAAAAATGAAACAATATTCACATTATTTTAGTATGATTCATCCTATTTAGTATGGGATTCGTTCCGATTTGGTTGTTGACACTATATGTTTCTATGTTTTTCTCTCAAATATGGAGTGACGTAGATATACAATTTTGAATAATAGCCTATTACTGAGAGCATGAAATGCTGAACAATCCCTCGCTTGCAGGTCCGATTTTTAGTTACTTGATATTTTAATCCATATAAAAATAAAACACTTAAATTTTTCGACTCAAGTCGACTTTACCCGAACGTTACACATCGGAAATCTGACGGCACAAGCTAATTAACTCTCCACAAAAAAGTAAAAAACGCTCCTAAAGAAGTTTTCACTTCAAAAATGAATACTTAATTAAACAAGTAGAAGACCATCTTATTTTTTATTATAATAAAGACTGTCTTAAAAGTTATATCCTAAATGTTGTAAGTGATCACCTTTCCGAAATAACGATTAATTCTTTATAAAGTCGTTTCTTCGTAAGTAGAATAGGAGTGGTACAATTTTAGAACTACATAAAATCAATCTGTAAGAATCTGAGTAGAATTTTCAGTATAAAACAATCGCTTATAGATTTTTTAATTTAAGAGATTTAAAGTGTGAATATGGCATCGCGAGTGAGAATATATTTTTAGGTGTAACTTCACTGGAACTGTTACTGGTTGGAGAACTACTAGTAAGTGGACCTCGGTGTAGTATTACTTTGCCAATTCCTGAGGGATACTTTGAGGTTACTGCCTTGTACTTGCCAGAGTGGGAGTGTCAAGATTCATTTCCTCGAACGAGGATCGAACCCACAACGTTCAGAACAAGGCAGTCTGAGGGCCACACTTCATTGTGCTCGGCTATCATGTCCTCTACTCATAACTTTAATATTATTTTTTATTTAATATTATTGTAACTTTAAAATTATTAATAAAAAAGTATTCATTTTGATACCACACTCCGAAAAAGCACAAAATGGCAAATTGGTATTTCTAGACATGGGTTTATGGATAATAGTCATGAATAGTTATTTCTAAATATTCTACATTTCACTGCCACAAAGCATACAATGTAATAATGAATGATATTAATTTATGTTCTAGCATAACAAGGGTGAGCCCCATCGCCTTATTAGAAATAAAAATAAACAAAGATTATTATGAGAATATAAAAATCATTAAAAGGCAAAATATAGAAGAAAAATAATTAGACTAAAAAACACATTAAAAAAAGTAAGGGGCTATGGAAAAAAAATTAAAAAATCAAATGAAATAAATAAAAAATATCATAATTATGAGCTGAATTGTAAATTGTATTTATGCATAAAATACTTATATAAAACAGAATTTAATCGTTTAATTATTCCTTATTAAATTACCTTTTTCGAACATTCAACAATAGGTACTGTATAACTTTTTCATCATTCCAGAATTTTTTTTTTCATTATAGATGGTAATTTTTAAGTTAAATGATAACTGAGCAACGGTTCAGTAATTCGCATGCCGTAGAACAACCCTTTCCTATCGGAGCCTAAAGGAATTTCGATTAGACAAAAAAGTAGTTAAAAATTGATACCTTCATGTTAAATCCTGAAGGACTAAGCCACTCGAATATAAAAATGGTGAACGTTGCGGCGTGGATTGCAACAACTCCAACCAACATCCACGATGCAGTATCGAAAGGTTCTGAAAAAAAAAATGTACAGTGTTATCAAATCTAATATATTTCATATCGTATAATATGATTGCAAATAAAATAGATTGTATTATCATAAATAATATGCTAATGTTACCTTGCAGGTGGAATTGATAAAATGACAAACAGTATGAGAAGGGTAAGTTCAAATACCAAAGAAAATATTACGAGAAGAAGAGACACGCCAAGGTTGTGATGGATGGATGATGTACCTGAAGATCTTCAATTCAAACTAGGAATGTCCAATTGGAAAGTAGCAGCGCATGGATGGATAAATGAAAGCGCAGAACATGGATGAATGGTGATAATGGCTGAAAGAGGCCCTGGCCCAACGTGCTACGTAACGTCAAATAAAAAAATAGTAGTAGACTATACGTAATGATATCTTTCATTCTCTCTTTATTTTGGATGAGATCGTTTGTTTCATAAGTCGTTTTCAGGCTACTATCAGCAAGTTTGTAATAACCATATGATTGAATTCTAGAAACTTTTCTAAGCATGTAAAATTGAGTATTAAATCCTTTATTTGGGTCTTCAGGAGATATCTAGACCACTGCCTTTTTAGTTTCGTTGAGACTCAGCAGTTAACAGGGGCGAAGAAACCAACAGAACGAGTACGAGTGGATTTGGATGATTGAGAATACTCAATAATTTAAACTTAGATTCATATTATTTAAAATATAGTTCATCCCGAAAAGTTCTTATGATCAGTACAATTTATTTAACTGAAAAGTAGAGTTTATCTTCAGTAAAATAATAATAAATGAGATTGTCCTTTTTTTTTTTTGTATCCAGCAAATGTATTTTTCTCTTTTATCTTGAGTAAGCTTGATCTAGATGAATTATAAAGATTAAAGGTATACAAAAAATTGAAAGAAAAAAAACAGTTTTCGGAAATCAAATAATCTATCTGTTCAACTTGAACACTATCACCTGAAAATGGAAAGGTGCACGTCAGAATGAATTATGAATTTCTGTGATATCAAGCCAGCCTTACAGAGCAAGTCAGCCTTCAAGTAAAGAGATACAAAATAAAATACATGGTATTAAGCTGAAAAATTCATCACAGCAGGTTCTGAGTAGAAGGTAAATCGTTATCTCAGCTCCACAATAACTTCAACAAATGCCCAATGGCCAAAAATATATATCAGTGCATAAGAAGCAAAAACAGAGCTTTTTTTCTCCTTGAAATGTATTGGGATTCCAAACGATATCTATAAATTTTAAATTAAGGGTGTGTAATGCTTTATTAATAAAGCTAGTTTACGTATTTGAGACTTGGGACTAACCAACACGATAGGAAGAAGTATTAAAATATTTGAAAGGAAAATCCACCGCACGATAACGTCAGGCCTTTGGAATCATAATAAAAACGCATGAAAGAGAAGGATAAATTTAGAGTTGCTTACAGAAATAGGTCAATCTATATTTCATAGTTCAAACGCTAGGAAAATAAGGTGGTTGTACTATATGGCTCGAATAAATTCGTCGGGAAACCCCTTAATCACAATGAGTGCTCAAATATTTGGCAAGAGACCACGTTAAAGGCCAAAAACGTATTGGGATTCCATACAATATCTATAAATTTTAAATTAAGGGTGTGTAATGCTTTATTAATAAAGCTAGTTTACGTATTTGAGACCTGGGACTAACCAACACGATATAAGGAAGAATTGTTGTTATATTATTATTTTGTTATATATATATATTGTATATATATATATATATTATATATATATTTATATTATATATATTTGTGATTGCTTTGTGATAATTATATATACAATAAATATATATATATATATATATATATATATATATAAAACAAAATAATAATATAATAACAATTCTTCCTTATATATAATAAGGAGGAAAGAAATAGTAAGGAAGAAAGGTAGATACAAGTATGCGGGTGGGTAATAACGAATGGGGTTGGAATGGGAAAGTAAGAACACGATTCGCTCCAAGAGAGGAAAAATCAAAAGCAATCACAAATATATATAATATAATTATATATACAATATATATATATATACTTTCCCCATGCCAATCTCATTTTTTTATACCTACCAACATACTTGTATCTACCTTTCCTCATTACGATTTCAGGAGTCCAATTAGGTAATATTAAAGTCCTGCAAGGTAATGTAATATCTTGATAGTCATTCACTGATAACCATTGTTGATTCAAAGCTTTTAAAATGACCTTCACAAAACGAAAACTAATGAAAAAACTTTTCTCTGCCATCAAAAGCTAGAATAGGAGGAAAATTTATAAGAACATAATAATGAAAAGTCCTATTTCTTGCTTAGTCTAGCAGCATTGTGCTACCTATCAAATAAAAAAAACAGTTTTCTAAATGAGTTTTGCTTTCCAACCATAGAGGTAAGTTTCCCAGAGTATGTATTCTAAAAAATGTATTTTGTTTAAAGATAATAAATACATTATATATATTGTGTTGTGAGAAGCTTGCAACAGGGTTGTTACACGATTACAGCGTTCTTGCAATTCCCAATTAATATTATATATATGAACAGTAATTGAAAAGGATCACATTTTAAATGAGTTTTTCTGGAGTTGGTTTGATTGTGAATACAGGCTTTGAAGTTACTAATGAGATATTAATGTGGAAGTTGAGAACCCCCAGCTTTAATGAGTTTTATCAAAGTAAAACTGATATTTCTCCAAAAAGGGTCGAGAAGAAACCGCTCGACGTACTGCACCCGCTAATGACCGTTCCTTCCACGATTCATACAGAGGTTTATCCTCAGTCAGTGATTCTTCTAGCAACGTGATCATGGCGCCATAATTATAGATTTAAATGCTAGATAGTGTAATGATAATCGTAGAAATATATGTTACAAGATTCGTTTTCGTTTTCTAAGTTAGATTCATATAACACATTACCAAAAATTCAATGTGATAGTTGACAACCGTAAGATAAAGTAAAATAACTTTAGCACCAATGTTTGATTTTTGGTATGAAATGTCTAGTCCCCTTGTGGATCTGGACTAGCCTTCGTCAACAGCCTATCTCGAACTATTGCTTTCCGATTTTCTACATCCAGCTCTGCAATATCTTAGTTAATTTATTATAATTCAGTTTTTGGCCTTTAACGTGGTCAAATTTGAGCACTCATTGTGATTAAGGGGTTTCCCGACGAATTTATTCGAGCCATATAGTACAACCACCTTATTTTCCTAGCGTTTGAACTATGAAATATAGATTGACTTATTTCTGTAAGCAACTCTAAATTTATCCTTCTCTTTCATGCGTTTTTATTATGATTCCAAAGGCCTGACGTTATCGTGCGGTGGATTTTCCTTTCAAATATTTTAATACTTCTTCCTATCGTGTTGGTTAGTCCCAAGTCTCAAATACGTAAACTAGCTTTATTAATAAAGCATTACACACCCTTAATTTAAAATTTATAGATATCGTTTGGAATCCCAATACATTTCAAGGAGAAAAAAAGCTCTGTTTTTGCTTCTTATGCACTGATATATTTTTGGCCATTGGGCATTTGTTGAAGTTATTGTGGAGCTGAGATAACGATTTACCTTCTACTCAGAACCTGCTGTGATGAATTTTTCAGCTTAATACCATGTATTTTATTTTGTATCTCTTTACTTGAAGGCTGACTTGCTCTGTAAGGCTGGCTTGATATCACAGAAATTCATAATTCATTCTGACGTGCACCTTTCCATTTTCAGGTGATAGTGTTCAAGTTGAACAGATAGATTATTTGATTTCCGAAAACTGTTTTTTTTCTTTCAATTTTTTGTATACCTTTAATCTTTATAATTCATCTAGATCAAGCTTACTCAAGATAAAAGAGAAAAATATATTTGCTGGATACAAAAAAAAAAAGGACAATCTCATTTATTATTATTTTACTGAAGATAAACTCTACTTTTCAGTTAAATAAATTGTACTGCTCATAAGAACTTTTCGGGATGAACTATATTTTAAATAATATGAATCTAAGTTTAAATTATTGAGTATTCTCAATCATCCAAATCCACTCGTACTCGTTCTGTTTGTTTCTTCGTCCCTGTTAACTGCTGAGTCTCAACGAAACTAAAAAGGCAGTGGCCTAGATATCTCCTGAAGACCTAAATAAAGGATTTAATACCCAATTTTACATGCTTAAAAAAGTTCCTAGAATTCAATCATATGGTTATTACAAACAGTATTATGCTGATAGTAGGTTATATATTATATATTATATATATATATATATATATATATATATATATATATATATATATATATATATAACCAATATCATTTTTAAATTTTATTTCTAAGTAGGCTTCTACAAAAAGCCGGAGATGAATCCATATTATGGACTTACGAGCTCAACCGATGGTATGGCAAGTCATATAGATGACTGAGTATAAAATTTCAACTTTCTATTACCAATTAATCACTAGTCTTTTTTTTTTTTTTTTTTTTTTTCCTACCCCTCAGGAATTTCTTGAATAAATACAGTATGTATACAAATGTATATATACATAAAAATCACTAGTCTGCAAGGCAATACTAAATTTAATCTTGACCTACGGACTAGGTCTGTGGGAAACGGCTAAATTTTGTAATATCAAACAAACGAATTTCTTTACGTCGAAAGTCCTTCGAAAATTAGTTGTGACCAACAAAACTCTACATACTGACCAAAATATTAATTTTTTTCTGAATCTTGTTCCAGGGTTCACTTAACCAGAACCTTACTCATCATCCAAATCTTGTAAAACAATCTCTATCTAGTTCTACCCATCATTACCATATTTTTTCCGTGAGGTTAAAACAGCAATGGCCCGGCGTCCTTTTGTTCCAACAATGGCCTGACTATTCACTGAAGTTGTATGTGTCACTGGCTATTAATACATGACCCATTTGATTAAAAATCATTAGGATCTCCTTGAATCCTCCTATTTTCTCCACAAATGGGCGACAAGCCTGATTTGGGTATATAATATTATAATAAATAGTATATACTCATGTTACTTTATTCAATTTTTTAAATTTCATTACTTATTACATTTTTTAAATTTTATCTTATTTTGTTTTTATTTATTATACAGCTATTATTTAATTTATTTATATATGATATCTGTAAATATCGTTTAAGTGTACTCTTTTATCACTATTAGCATCCTTGACTGAGAAGGAATGTAACATTGTTCAAGCAAATAAACAAAAATATGTAGGAGAGAAGCTATAGAGTTTTATTTCTATAACATTTCTATTTATTTCCTCAGATATGTGTATATTTATAACAGTAGAAAAACACATCTAATATATATATTTTTACTTTTGTAGAAAATATTCTATTCATATAAATTTGGAGTTTGAATTTTGATGTTGATACGATTGTTCAAGTCTACTCCTTACATCTTGGGCTTAACAACGTGGACTAGGAGTCTTTGATCTTGCGAGGAGAAATGTTATTCCGGGACGCTGGCCAACCGGCCATACAAAGGAAAATAAAAAGAAACTAAATAAAAGGATGAAGAAAAAATGCCGGATTTTGAAGAGTGTACTGCTGAACATCGTGAGTTTTGATTCAGTATTAAAATCATTCAGTATGAAGAATGTTGTTATTAAACAAGTTTGCATTAATTATATGACTTATTTATTTATATATTTATAGATAATTTTATGATCACTTAGCTAAACCTTATTGGTATTAAACAGGCTCTAAGATGTATTAAAAATCTGTTTGTATTACGAAGGTAATATCTATAGTATTACAATAATAAATCTATAGTAAATATGTTAGAAAGGCCTTTCTGGAATGGAATTTTAATCCTTCAAGATATGAGTGTTTTTCATTGAATTATATATTTCAAAATATTTTTCCTTTTTTTCACAGCTCAGTAATTTTTTAGTTATTACAATATTTTTCTTAATATCATAAAATAAATGTTTTATTTAATAACATACAAATGAAGAAACATGTCAAAATAATAAAACCCATTATGTTCCACGATGACAAATGCAAGACGAATAGTAATATCTACACCGAAGCTATAAACAAAAAAGTAAATGATTGAATACTCGATGGTTGACTGTTGTATATTATTGAGGAAGGAGATGATCCGGGGTGGCGGTTATAAAGAGACTTTAAGTAGTGAAAGTGCAGGCTTGAATTAAAATATTTTTTCACTATTTAAAGTCTTTCTGTGCACACCACGTACATCTCCTTCCTCAAAAATAAATTAATTCCTTATTTTTCTGTTTTTGTTGACTTACCCAAGAAAGCTGTAGGGGATATGATTCCAGTCCTCTTCGACACTACAATAGCAATCCCGGTCTCCATGAAGGGGACCGAGAAGTCAACCACCGCTTCACGTTCGCTGTTGATCATCAAGGATGTCATTACCATGTCAGTCTTCCTGTTGACTAGCTCGGCGATCAACCCATTCCACTTCCCATTCTGAAAAATCATCATTAATAAAGTTTATAACAGATCTGTAAGTCAACCACCCCAACCATCCTTCTCTTCATTATTCACTACAGTCAACCATTAACCCAAAATCAAGATAATCTTGGTTTTTACGAGAAAAATTTGTCAGCTGTTCAAATAATAAAGGAAAAAATATATGACCGATTCAGCATTTTAGATATTACTAAAATAATATGACTGAATCATCATTGATTGGTTAGGTTATTTCAACAGACAACATAACCTATGAAAGGACGATGTACGGTCGAAATTTCTGAATAAGGTTGTGGGATTGCGTGGAACAGTGTGTTATCAAAAGAGTATGAGAACATAACCGGATAATGATCATCAGCAACAAAACTCGGGGCGATTAGTGATGACGTTAACAACGACTTGCGTATGGATCGTAGTGCTACAAAGAAGGTGCGTTTAGAAATTTCGCAAATTATTTAACTTAACCAACAGCGGTATTAGTCATAAGCCTTTTTTATTACTTGTTACCGACATCAAAAAACATGAAACAAAAGGAAACACTCATTTAGATAGGTATTTAATTTTCCCATAAACGCACCTTAATAATATTAATGTAAGCACATTATTTTTAAAACATCTTATTCTTAATTACTTCTTTTATTATCTCATTCACAACACAATTAACTGAAAAACGGATTTTTAATATTCAATAATAATCCGAGGTAACAGCTACATTATATCTAACTACTAACTCTGTCCAAAACTTCGTTAATATCTTTATTTTATAGTAATCTACAACTTTTTAACCAATTAAAATTCACAAAAAATCGTGAACACCCATTTTATTTTGCTTTCCACATTAATTGCAAGATAATTGAGGAAAAAAAATGAGGAAAAAAAGTTTTCTACAACAATATCAAGCCGTTTGCCTTGACCTTCACCACCATGTCAAAATAACGAGGTTGTATTGGCCAAATGGATCCAGATTTTTTTTTAAGGTAATTTATCTCTATTTTAAGAAATTAAAAAAAATTAAGTAAATTATATTTTAAATTGGTTAGCTTGCAAGGGCATCTCAATGATAACTATTTCTGATATTGGTTTATAATTTCACTACCATTTTATTTATTTCTAATATTTCTAATGTTAATGGAGTGGTTCGTAAAGACTGGTTTTAAAACAATATACTTTAAAAATACATTGATGAAGAGACGTGAAACATATCCACAGAAGAAATTGTAGCATTGAACAAGTAAATTATAAATAGCACATAATTAACTTTTAAGAAAAAAAAATCTTTGTACCAAATGTCCGATTTTAAAGATTTATTTTTATATTTTAGAAAATTTCGTAAACTTTTAAATGAATTTTTGAGTTATTCGGAAATCTAATTTTACGACCCCATAACTTTTTCCAGTTTCTTTTCATTGAAGTATGTCATATGGATAAATTTGAGAGTTCGAAAGAGAAGACTTTAGCCAAGTTTCATCGAAATCGGTACATCCGTTCAGGCGTCATAAGGCACAGGCCCTTCGGTCACCATAATGATAGGGAAGTACTTTTCGGCTAAATATGTTTAATAAATATATTTAAAGGGCATCGAGGAACAGACTTTAGCCAAGTTTCATTGAAATCGTAACATTTGTTTAGGCTATAGTCTATAGCAACACTAGTTTTCAGACGTCATCTTGAAAGGAAAGGGCTGATAGTAATGTCAAGGTAGAAAAATCATCCCCGGGAAATCTCTTTATTTGATTCAAAATTTGAAAAAAAAATCGATCCATTATTTTGGGAGAAAGAGCACAGACAAACTTTTTTTTTGATTTTTTAGTTCAGCGTATCCTGAAACGTAAAACCACAAATTTTGAGGGGAGGGAGTTAAGTTTTTGATTTTTTTCGGAAGATTACAATGGTTCATTATTGAAAATAATAAACCAAAATACGGTTTGGTTAAATATAACTGAAAAAAATAATAAAAGTAACTAATGACAAAATTTCTAATTTGAGCTAGAGAGAATACACAATTTCCATAAGCATACCTCAAGCGTACCCCACTTGCCATCTTCCACCCGCACAAGTTCATAGGTAAAGCCCAGTTCCTCAGCGAATTTCTCCAAAAGATCTACGCAAAATCCAGAGCAGCATTGGTAATAGCTTCCATTCCTGTGAGCCATTGGTATGTCAACTCTAAGGGCAAACAAAGAAATACATAAGTAAGAAAATAATAAAACTGTTATGAATGAAAAATTATATTAAATTATGAGAAGGAACTGATCGGGGGGTGCGGTCAAATAAATACTAAATTATACAAATAGTATTATTTAATTTTTTTGCCGACGTTTCAACTCACTTTGCAGGTCTTCATCAAGGCGTAGGATGTAGCACTGTGGGAGGCAGTTTAAACACTGAAATATTAAATTATGTTGGTAATTCTATTACTTCCGGGTTTTTCCTCCATAGGTCGAGGAACAAGCAGGAGTTCAGAATTTTTTTGGATGGTTGTATGTAGTGTATACATGAATGCCCGTATTATTTTACTTTACTTATCTTTTATTTATCGTTTATTTTATTTGTATTTATTGTTTTATTGGTTATTAGTGAGTTGTTGCTTTTCTTGTTTTTGTTTCGTTGTTGTTTTATATTTATTGTATGTAAATATCAATGTACTCCTTCATCACAATAATTCATGTCCATATTGTGACAGAATATTATATTTAATAAATAAAATAAAATTATATTACAATGGTAGTAATTTTTGAAAGAATTTTCTACGAAAAAAAATTAATTGACTTGCTGTCTGCTGTTTTGATATATTTCTCGGGCGGCGTTTTTATCCTCCTTCAATCTCTGCAGATGAGCATTCCAGAAAGGAGAATATTTCTTAACGCAACCTCTAGGAATAGTTTCTATGGCACATTTTAAGATTGTTTCACATATTTTCTTATTAATAAAATCAACATTACCTTGTATTACATGCTCATTTAAGTTTAAATCACATATCTTGGAAAATAATTTCCATTTAGCTTTTTTCAAGTTCCATTTGGCTATTCGAGGTTCAGAGAGTCGACTAGTCCTATGGGTCCTAACTATTATTTTTAATATCTTGTGTCATAATTCTCCTGGAGCATGTTCCACAGAACATTGAATGTCATTTTTTAAATTTGTGTCAGTCAGGATTGCATCCCGATTTCTAGTATTGCCCCGGTATGAAATAAACGTTGGGCTGTTGTCTTCTCTTCTAATAATTTCTACTGGGTTCGAGTCAATGAAATCCTCAAAAATCCTACCAACGGCTGATGTTTGGTTATAATCGCATCTAGTAGATGGGGCATTAATATCACCATATAAGACGTCTTGGGATCCCTACTGAGCTTCAAGCCAGTATAGGTCTGGTCTATTCATTGGGTGATTGTACATTACATAGAACCTCCAATGGATTTTATTTTTCCATACATCTAACTGTACAGCCTCCAATTTATCATTCTCTTCCATCTTCTTTTTAATTGAAAAGTTTACCTTGAGGGATGATTTAGCAGCGACAATTATTCCTGATGCTACCTACCTGGATCTCTGCAGTATATAAATTTGATATCCCGGTAATTAGTAGAACTGGATATTTTCAGTAGATGAGCCGGCTTCTACGATCCCATATAGCTCCTTTGTAATAATCGTCTTCCATTCTGTGAATTTGTCAGCAGTTAGGCCACCAGCGTTCCAGAACATAGCCTTAAGCTGTGTGTTGACTGGGCCTTTTGGTTTCGTTAATTTTGATGGATTCATGTTTTTGTGGATTCTGTGATGTTGAACTGTCTTCGCGGCGACAATATTGCTCATTTAGATATAACCGGAAGGCACGTGTACAATGTACGAACACGAGCAAAGTTACCCAATCTTTATTAAAGCTTTTTAGTTTAAAGTTTTAACAGCTAACAACATCCTAACAACATACACATCTAAAAGTTTACATACATAAGACATATTGAAATGTAATTCAATAATCAATATGGTACCTCTAACCTATAAAGTTGCACACGGCACCTAGAATACAATCAAATAAATAAATATTTTATTTTTTTCAAAAAAAGAAAGTTGTTATTCTACCAAAATCTGGTTTGATGCATAAAATTAAAATAAATAAGATTTATAATTTCATATTACAGAGTAAAACATTTAAACGGGAACAAAAAACGATATGTTGATAAATACATATACCACATTCATTTCATAAGATAACATATTTTATCGTATATTACAGAATATCCCTTGTTTAAAGTCAATAATATAATTATATATATATATATTATAAACATAATTATTTAATTGGGAATTAGGTCACTTAATGTCCCTAATTCTGATACTGATACTAATACTGACTTAAGTGACCTAATTCCCAATTAAATAATTATGTTATTTTATTTTTATATAAATTAGGCCAATTATCACCAAACATTTTATTAATACGCTAATCATTCGACGTTTCGACCATACTATGGGTCATTTTCAAGTCTTGATGTTTATATAAATATAAAATCCCAAGACACCAAAATTAGGATAAATGAACAGACGAATTATGTTATGTATTATTATGTTAAAATATAATACTCAAAGGTCGATTGAAGAAATTTTGTAAAAATATGTATATGAATCCTCCGCACGATAACCGGAGTGGTCTGGGATTAGAGTACTGGCACATGGAGACGAAAGACCAATAAAGAAGTACTTACAAAAACTGGTCAATCAATATCCCATGATATGAAGGCACGGAGGTTAAGACGAGCGGGGCATGTAGCTCATAGCAATCCATCTGGAAGCCTCTACGTAACAATGAATGTCTCAATAGAAGACAAAAGACCACGTGAAAGGCCAAAAAGCTGAGGGATAGATAGAATCAACGAAGGTGCTATAAAGCTGCGAGTGGATAAATGGAAAGAAATAGCCCAAGACAGGCTGAGGACCTGGCTTGTTAAGGCGGTAAAAATCTACATGGCCTGTAATGCCAACAGAACAAAAAATATAAATATATTAGGAAATAAATATTGTATTGAGAAATCACTTTTATTACTCATTGTATGAAAAGGTAACGAAACATGATATAATTTCCAATGTGCCGTATTATTCAAAGTTTAAAAAAAAGAAGAAAAATTTGTAGATATTGCACCTAAATCTTTTAAATCACATGTATGTTTTCCTTTCTGGAAAAATAAAAATAAAAAAATCTTATTCACATGGAATTATTTTAATTTTTTCCTATCATTTCCAGTGTATAGTTAAGTATGTTTCTGAATAATACATCACTAACCTGACAATGATCGCATGCATTTATATCCATTACACCCTTCATTGAGTCAAGTTTTAATGATATACTTCTTAATTATTCAAATATTTCCAACAGATTTAGTAAATAACTAAGTAGCAAATAGCTATAATTGGGATTAAAAACAGGAATGTTTAAAAAAGACTATTTAAACTAACGTTTGAAAAAATCTATAATTAATATGACCAATTTATCCTTTAGTTGTGTTATATTGCTGTGAAGAGAACATCTAGCTTAATTCAGCCACCCTCCTCGAAGAAAAAACTCATGGCGCCACTCAAGAGGGTTCACCACTTTTGTCTCCCCCTCCCCCTCCCATTACACAATAACATCTGAAATCAATAGGCTACAAAATATGTCTTTGTTTTTTCGCAGACAACAACTTTTTTTTAACCAACGCTAATGTCCTTGAACATCATTGAAGTTCCTTTTATTGACCAGTATCAATTTCAATTAAGCAGGCAATTTTTTTTTTTGTCTATAAAAGATGTATTTGGGCCTGTCAAGTTATTGTTGAAAATCATCAAATATGATGGCGATAAATGAAATAATGACATGACAGGCATGGGTAAGAAAAGTACTCGGCAGTACCTCTTCCCTAACTTGTTCCAATTACTTCGGTTGTTTAAGGAAGGAGATCCCTCATCCAACGTCTTTTTAGTCTCCTGCTCATGTTCTGAGGTATGTCAGTTGTGGCCATGTCTCTTTTTAGTCTGTTATTATATCCATTTAAATTAGTGTAAAATCGTTGATGAAGGTTCGTTATATGTTGGTCAACTGTTGGAAGGTGGAGGTCAGAATGTAGAGTTTTGTTAGTCTCGTACCATGGTGATTTTCTTATGAGTCGAAATAATTTTGATTGGAACGTTTAAAGTTTTTGTAGGTGGGTCTTTTTAGCGATGCCGTATATTTGTGATGAGTAGTTTCATATGGGCTTAAATAATTATGTATATGTATTCAGTTTCTGTTTTAGTTTTAGTTTTGAAGATTTAGAAAAAAGAGAGTAAAGTAGTTTGAGGCGTTTGTTAAGTGTCTTATGTTTCATTTTAACATGCGGACCTATGCCATCCTAATTAAAATACAATTAAAACTAACATCAATAACAATTAAAATTGAAAACGAAATAGAATATCTACTTATTATTTTTTTTAACTATTAAACATTTTCTATCCTTTCTTCATCGGAAGTGGTGGAGACATGGGTACAATGGACTTACAAATGTAAGATGGTGGACCTTACCTCTTGTCGAGGACAACCGACGTTGTGTCGCTTACACAAAGAGCCATGTGCCCTTTGATGTCAACTAAGAGCGTTTTAGTAGCCCATCTACGTTATGACAAATTTTTAACAAAGATAATCAGAAAATTGTCGCAAAAATAATAATAAGTCAGGAAATATAAAAAATGTCAATGGTTATTTTATAAATTCCGAAAATGCCTTCTACATTTTCTTATCGTTGTTTGCAGTTTCAAACGTTTTCTTGCAGGTCGATTTATTAATTAATAATAACTGCAACATCAGGAAGGAAATAAAAAAAAATTCCGAGGTTCTTCTCATTAGCACTTCATTTGCTGATGATATAACTTCTACCGTTAGTAAAAACACTTTTAATGGTGGAGTTAAAAGTTCTAAAGCAATCAATTTGAATGAAAAATCGGGAGTTATTCTGGACTAAGTTGTTATTCTTGAAGGACTCGATTACGTGAATAGTTTAGATAATCGAGGTGGAGATCTTTAAAAGCATGAATCCAAATTAGTAGTTAAAAATGGAATTTTTGAGTTAGATTTTTTTTATCTGAAATTCTTTAATCACAAATATCAGGCACAAATAGAACCCTTGAATTTGACCAAACCAAATAACAAAATAATTATAAAATTCCAAGATCTTTTGGTTCAGGACTCTGGTTGGTTTGATATGGAATGACCTAAAACAAACCATGTGCCATACTAAGTCGAAGGTTTGTGCTACGTTCAGAAAGGCGCAAGGGCAATGTTGCTTTTAAGAACAAAGGATGTATGGAAAACCAATCAATAAAGACCCTGATGGACTGTGGAATATCCTGAGTGGAAACTGGTACATGAGAGGGATTTTTTGAGAATTAAGTAAACTTAGATTTCGTTTGAGGAGGACTTTCCAAGCATTTATGGAATGTTTCTAATTCAGAGAAACGTAGGTTGGACAAAAAATGTGATTGTATTGGTGTGTATAGAATGGCGCCGCTTTTATTGGGAAGTTGTCAAAGGTTTGGGAAACGATCGCATCCTCTGGTATTTTAGTTGGTATATTAGAAATTTGACGTCACTGGAATTAGCTTTGTGTATGTATGGGATAGAATTCAGGATGGGAAATGAATGGGTGGGATAAATGTTAAGTGGATTCTTTTTCTCTATTTTTATCTTACAAAGCTCAGGAAACAATGAAAATAGACAGAAATCGGAAAATAGACTTGCATTCCAGGATATATTTTTTTTCTTTCTAGAGGAAGTTATCACAAGCTATTCGCGGACGCGGTGCGAGCATGTGTGTCCTAAACTTCATTTGTTATTTCGAGTTTGATGATATTAGTAAAATAAAATATAGATTATATAACTCAGAACAAAAATAATGCTAACAGAATCACATCTCGTCTATAAAGCTACGTTTATTACTTATATAATATTTTATTATTAATAAATTGTTTTCCCTAAATATAATAATAATTTGTTTTGTTTTAGATGTAGATATAATTTTATATACTACAACGGACACCACAATTCAATTTTAGAACTACCTCAACGAGTTAATCCTATTGGACAGCCATTAGCAAGGGTGAACTGAAATCCAGCTTAGTGTTGCCAATTTTAGACAAAATGCAGTATAAAGGATTAACCGAAAACCTCATTTCTTTCCCATTAGATCATTTCCATAGTTCATCTATATTTGATGGCTTCGAACAGGAAAGTGAATTATTGAAAATATAGTATTTTAATATTTTGGTTTTATACATAAAACTTTATAATACTGAACGCTGCATTCCATTGACCCTCTGTAATAATCGGAAGAATGAGAGGATTTATTTTATTAAAAAAGAAATTGTATAATAATATCGAATGTCTAAAATGACCTTAAAAAAATGAATAGGATATTAAAACACGCCTTTGTTTTCCTAAAATTAAGTTGATGACATAAAACAGGGAACATCGTTGAGGGTTTTACACAATAGAAAATAAAATAGTATAACAATCAAGTTTGAGAAATCCACGTAAAAGTAAGACGAGCTCTGTGTAATTTATTCTTCAAGATGTACTAACTACGACTAACTGATTAAGACAAAGTATAATATTCTTAGTCTCAAAAGTAATTATGTATAGTATATCTGTACCACTTTATCAAATTCAATATTCGCTTTCTTAAATATGATATTTTTCAATGAAATTTTAATTCCAATTGCAACTAACTGAGGAAAGCAATGATTTTATATTTATTTATTATTATATGTTAAAATTTACACATTTAAAAAAAAAAATCTATTTATTGAATAATAATACAATCATCCACTGCTGGAGGGCTATAAATATTAGGGCTAAGAGTTCTCATTCATACAATATATACACATAATAGAGAAATAAATATAAATATAAAAAGTAAATAAATAATACCGATGAATAAAGTAAATAAAAGAAAAAAAAAGTAAACAAATAACATAAAATAGAAACTTCTAAACACAATCATACCTATATACAATATATACATTCGCCCAGGAATCTCCGAGCCAGGCTTTTTCCCCTCATATGGAAGGAAAAGCAAGACTCCAGGAGATCCCAGTGCCACTTTTTCAGTCGCATCACTAGTATTAGAAGCCAGTGGAGACTGAAAGAGGGCACTAGAGCCACAGACGCTCAGGACATGAGTGAAGATGCTGGCCATTGCCAGGACTCCAGAAGCATATTTACAAGAGATCTCTGGGCCACTGCCGTTTTAACCTTGTGGAGGATTGTAGGGATGAAGGGAGCTGGATAGGGATTGAGCTAGAGGATTTGGATGATGGATGAGGTTCTGGTGTAGGTTTGAGAATCTGGATGGGATGATGTCGAGGACAAATGGGATGTTAAGGTCATGGTGTAGGGTCTTGTTTGTGACATAATATGGGGCATTAACTATTGTTCTGAGTACTTTGGACTGGAAAGATTGAATGCGTTTGATATTCGAATGTTTAGCAGTTCCTCACAGTTCAAGTCCGTAGGTCCAGATAGGTTTCAGTATGGTCTTGTAGATTAAAAGTTTCTTTTCAATCGAAAGATGGGATGTCCTACTTAGTAATTTATACAGCTGGCCTTATCGTCGGTTAAGTTCTTGTCTTTTAAGTCTGGTATGTGGGTTCCAAGTTAGTCTTTTGTCAAGAAGGAAGCCAAGGTAACGGACTGTGTCTGAGTAGGGAAGTGGAATTGAATTAAAAAGGATTGGCGGACAGGATCTGCATTTACACATTTAGAGTACGATTCTAATCAATTAGTGATATCGGCTCTACTTATATGCTACATCATTTTATAAATGATTCCATCGAGGTGAATATGTAGATAAAATATACTGGTGTATTATCACATTTTTGTGGGAATCAAGGCATCAACTCGTTCAGTATTTAGTAAGTTTAAGTTTTATTCTCAGCAGAAACATTTTAGTGTTCACGATGGAGGTAACGTAAACTGTTATGGAAAATCTTTTTCTTATAGTTTAATTTTTGGAGCGAATGCGGTTAAGATAATTAAAGAAATATGAAAGATCAAGATGATAGATAATCAATATTTCAGCGAACACTTCAGGATTATACAAACGAAATAAGATTAAATATTGCTTCTATGTTGATATTGTATATATATATATATATATATATATCTTAATTGATTACTAGATAAATTTCGTACTTGATACTTTTCTTTCAATATCAAAACATTGTTGGCAACATACCTCGCCATTCTGAGTCTGTTATCTTTCTGGTTCATTTGTTCCAAGTATTTATCTGAGTTATGGGTAGCCAACACAATATTATCAGAATTTTCCGAACCATTCGTAGTTCGGAGAATCAAAACCTTCATTAGCAGTATTTCATTATTTTTTTTTTATTTGAAGAGTGCGAAAAAAAATTACTAGTTAAAAATAAATAAAACATTATTATGAAACAAATCAATTAGTTAAAGCTTTATTAAAAAAAAACAGTAATTACCACCACCTATTTTAATTTTAAGTTTTAAACATTAAGTCTTTTATATTTAAAGATTCAGTACGAACTACTATTTTTAATACTTCAAAAATAATCTCCTAATTTCAAGACGGATTAATACAGCGATTAAAGCGTTTAATAGCGAATAATCTATTTAAATTGAGATTAAAAAACTAAGTATTTAATTTTCCATTCTGTAAAACGGATCTTACCTATTTGATGTCGTCAAATCAATTTTAGGAAAACTGAGGCATGTTTTTATATCTATTAAACTGTAAAATAAATGTTTAATTTCATAAATCAAAAGGTCATTATAGATAGAAAGAAAGTTTAAAATCTAATTAAAGTGTTAAATTTCTATGTTTTAAATTCTAACGGTTTGAAAATAGTGAACATAACAACGAGCTACTTTTATCAGAAAAGTAGAAAATCCAAGATTTTTTTTTAAGTGTCATTTTTTGTTTTGCTTTACTGTGAGCTGGACAAATTCACTTCAAATAAAAAAAGCGTTTGTCATTGTTAAAACCATTAACAGAGGACTTTTGAGATACTAAACTGAGCTAAAATCTGTTTTAAAAAATCATAAATTATTCGCGTTTTTATGATTATTATAAACTATACTATAGATACCTTTTATTGATATGAATTTTTATCCTTTATCGTAAAAGAATCAGAAAAAATGACAACAGTTAATTGTTACAAAGCTTTTATTTCGTTTTTTCCATAATCTGGTTGTATTATAATAAAAATAAATACACATTTTATCTACATTAAAAAAAAAAAAAAAATGGTTGTAAATTAAAGCGTCACCTCGGCCACCTCAGATAAAGCTCTCAAAAGAGTTGGTGCGATTTTATCTTCCCTAATTTTGGAGCTGAGAATAGGTTCATGAACTTGAAGAACTATTGAAAATATTATCTTGAAACTATTGTAAGCATAAAAATCGAATCACCAGAAGAGGCAAGGTACTATAAGAAGAAGTGTTAAACAAAAAGTTGACTATATTTATATTTCTTGATAATGAAAGCAAAAAACCAATATAAATTTAATCACATCTTGACAAAACCTTGAAGTAATTAAATAAAAAGTTGTGTATTTGCTAAGAAAGTATTTTTTTGTTTACAAAATTTGCCAAGTAGGTTCAGTATAGATTTGTTTGAAATTTAATGGATTAATAATAACTTTTAAGAAAACAATCTACGGAATGAGCTTAAAAAAAAAAAAAGTGAAAGTAATATGATAAAACTATGAAAAATTATTTTGTAATTTTTCATACGCAAAGTTCATAATAAAATTTTTTGCTTATATTTGCAGAAAAATGTTGGTGTTTGTTATAGAACTTTTCCACTTTCGTACTAATGTTTTTTTGTTTTACTTATTATTTTTTTGTGATTATTCACTTTTCTTGCTATGTTGGAAACGATATTATTGCAATCATAAATTCTCCGACAAAACAAGTTTTGATCTTCCAACGTGTCCATTTTTTCGTTTTAGAATATGCCTTGGTTATGAACGTTTTGAACTTTGAGAAGAGATCGTTCCTTTAATGTCAAAGGATGAAGTTTCTCGCTGGATTTTAATTTATGTAGAATTATTATTCAGTTCATGTAATCGAGAGGACCTGAATTCATACGCTACTACTTCTCATGTCGGATTATGAAAAGAAGGAGAATACAAATTGTGTTTTATAATAACCAATGTCCTTAATTTAATTTGGGAGATACAAAACAAAAAATAGACAACCAGATAAATTACAAAAACAAAACAGACAATCTAATTAGTTTAACAACATTTATAGGGTTGGATGTTTTTGATAGGTTCCACACATGGTATGGTTTCAGAAAATTCGATTTCGTACACATACATAACAAAGACGCATTGTATTTTTTTGTTACTTTTTAGCATTGACCTCCTCTAAGAGTTTTAGAGCAGATAATCTGGAGATTTATATTCTATTAGACCTCTTAGGTAAAATCCGGGCCAAAGGAATAAGTAATGAGAAGTAGAGGGATGGAGGCGACGAAAACTTGGTCGCTACGAAATGGAAAAGTTGGTAAATCTGTTCCTACAACTACTCTCATCCGCGAGATAACTGGTTCGCTCCATTTTTGTTTGATGTGTTTGTTGTTTTTTTCTTCTAGCTTTGAAGTATGGAAAATACATATATTCCTTCTCCTCAGGGAAACGGTGATTCGTTGAACGATTTAGAAGGACAAGAAAAACGATGTTGGTCTTTGATGTATGAAAGAAAATGCCTTGTTTGAATTTTTTTCGGTTCGAAGTTCTACTGAAATGGTTTACCCCTCCATTGTAAATCTCAAAATAGTCCTGAATCTCTTTCGGACCCAATAGTTCTTTCAGAGGACAACTTCATTACCAATCCTGTATCAGTAGATCCATAAAATACATTCTCTACGATTAAGGTATTTAATTACGATTAAATTTAGGTTTCCTAACAAAATTGTTTTATCTTTAGAAAAAGTAACCATATGTGTGACGCGTTTTGTCGATTTCAATGACAAGATATCTCTACGCCAGTTATTTTTTTAACTACGTAAATGTATACGGTAAGCAATTTAGTAACATATATATATACATACATATAAACAAATCTGTTGAC